AAAAAAAAAAAAAAAAAAAGAAGAAGAAAAGAAGAAGAAGGAGAAGAGGAAGAAGAAGAAGAAGAAGAAGAAGAAGAAGAAGAAGAAGAAGAAGAAGGTGATAAGGCTCAGCAGATAAAGACTCTTGCTGCCTAAAGACCTGAGTTCAGTTTCCAGATCCTATGTGGTAAAAGAAGAGAACTAACTTCTAGAGTTCACATTCTCTTCCTTTGAGGTTGATAGGATTTTTTTTTTTTTTGAGACAGGGTTTCTCTTTATAGCCCGGGCTGTCCTAGAACTCACTCTGTAGACCAGGCTGGCCTTGAACTCAGAAATCTGCTTGCCTCTGCCTCCCAAGTCCTGGGATCGAAGGCATGCGCCGCCACTGCCCGGCTGATAGGATGGTTTTTAAATGGCTTTTTTTGATCCTTTTATTCTTTTATACAACTGGTTAACAGTAACTTTAAGAAACCTCACCAATGTAACTGGTAAAACTGGCTCTTAAGACCAAATCAAACATCTGCTGTGACATCACTTGTGCCTTTCTATAGCAGCAGAAAAGAGGCTGATCAGCCTGGTTGAACAGTGGAGACTAGAGCAGCCTGGACATTTGTTTTTGTAAAGAGCAGTGGCCACAGGCTAGGGAGAATTTTTTTGTTTGTTTGTTTTTTCGAGACAGGGTTTCTCTGTATAGCCCTGGCTGTCCTGGAACTCACTCTGTAGATCAGGCTGGCCTCGAACTCAGAGATCCACCTGCCTCTGCCTCCCAAGTGCTGGGATTAAAGGCGTGTGCCACCACTGCCCGGCTGCTAGGAGAATTCTTAAAGGTTAAAAACACTTGCTGCCAACAAGCCTGACCTGAGTTTGACCCCTGAACCATATGGTGGAAGGAGAGATTTGACTCCTACAAATTGGCCTCCGACCTCCACTAGCACACCATGATACTTGTACTTACATGTTAACAAAATATAAAAGCATTAAATAAAAAGTAAAATAATATACATAAAATTTGTTTGCGCAAATAAATACAAATTTAATTAATTAATTGTACTGGTTGGTTTTGTGTCAACTTGACACAAGCTATAGTCATCATAGAGAAGGAAACCTCAGCTGAGAAAATGTCCCCATGAGATCCAGCTGTAAGGCATTTTCTTGAGGCTGGGTCTCAACTAATTCCAGCTGGCTTCAAGCTCTACTTGAGAGAGGGTCTAGCCCATTGCAGATGTTGCCATCCCTGAGCTGGTTGTCCTAGGTTCTATAAGAAAGCAGGCTGATGAACCCAATAAGCAGCATCCCTCATGGCCTCTGTATCAGCTCCTATCTCCAGGTTTTTGTCCTGTGTGAGTCCCCATCCTAGCTTTCTTTGGTGATGAACAGCAATGTGGAAGTATAAGCTGAAGCTCTTTTCTCCCCAACTTGCTTTTGGTCATGGTGTTTCCTTATAGCAATAGAAACCCTAACTAGGAGTTCAATTAATTAATTTTAAAGCAGTGGCAGGCAAAAGGAATATGGATAGCTATCCTGGGCCTTAGGGTATGGATGAGGCTCTCTGGGCTTAAGAGGTCAGAGTGGGACCAGAATCTCCTAGAGTGCAGTGACATCTTGTTTTAACCACTTCCCTTCCTTCCTTATTTTATTTGAGACAGTGTCTCACTCTGTATCTCCCCCTGGCCTGGAACGCACAGAACTCTGTGTGTCTCTGCTTCCTGGGTGCTGGATTAAAGGCATGCAGCACCATGCTGGGCTATCTAAGAGAGCCTTGGAAGCAAAACACACAAAAGGTCATAACCAAGTCTCTCATCTT